TTTTTTTTTCGTGCAGTGCAGTGCAAACAAACATTTTTCTTTCCATATATTTCATTACGATGATTACCTTTTTTTGAATTTTTGTTAGTTTTGCTGTTTGGTTGTTTTGTTTTGTTATGTATATCGTTATCGTTTTTTCTCTCTCTTGTTTTCTTGTTGTTCCTGATCTGATGATGATCATTAACATCATCGTCGTCATTCCCGTTGGCGTATATTACCAAAAAGAAAATAATAAAAATCACCATAAAAAACATTGCATCGTAACACATCATTATCATCCTCATCATCAGAATAATAAATTTTTTTTGTGTGTTTTTCGGGCCTGGTTTTTTTTTTTGTTCGGTGATTTTTCTGCCCGGTAATTTTCTGCCCGGTAAATATTTTCCTCGGGAAATATTTTTCCTCCCGTCAAACTTTATTCATCATCGATCGATCGAATGTTGATTATGAAAAACTGTTTTTTGCAATAATAATGAAAAACGACCTGTTGTTGTTTTTGTCGTTTTTAAAGTTTTAAAGTTTTTGTGGTTTTTTTTTTTGTTTTTGATATTCAAAATTTCGTCCATTTTTTTCTTCTCATTGTGATAATTGTGTTATATTTTGCACACAAATTTTTCTTCCATTCCGTTCCGTTAATGTTTTCTTGGGGTTAAATCGCAAAAATAACCACTACCAGCCAACGACAGCAACACTGATCATCATTTTCACATTTGAAATTTGTCGATTTTCTTCATTTTTCCGATTTCAAATCATCGAAAATGTTTTCCAAACTAAAAACAACATCTTCGTCATCGTCGTCATTATTGAATCCGGCCAGTCCAACATTATCGATAAGCTCAAATTGCAGTAGCAGTGGCAATAGCCAATATAATATTGATGTTAATCCAATTGCACAATATTTTGAATGTGGTAAACAAATCGGTTCAGCCGGGCCGGAATTAGCATGGAAAATTTTCGATGCCGTTCGTAAATCGGATTCGAAAGTAAATTTTTCTAAATTACAAAAGTTACAAAAAAGTTACAAAATAGTTACAAATGAAAAGTTACAAATGAGAAAATTACAAACAAAAATATAAAAAGTTACAAATAATGAATTTAATTAGTAGAAAAAAAAATATATTTTCATTTAATTAGCTAGTTACTTTATTAATTAGTTAGTTACTTCATTAGTTAATTAGTTTACTTAATTAATTGTTTTTTATTTTTTTTTATTATTAAAAAAATGAGTAATTATTATGCAAATTTTTTATTAATGTTTTCTTATCTCATTATCTTCTTATGGTTTCTTTTGCTTTTTCGTCGTTGTTGTCTGTCATCATCTTAATTTGCATAATAAAGGAAGTATCATTATTTTTCTATGATAAACGTCAAGCTGATAAATTACATAAACCAAAACGTAAAGAAATGATTGCCGAAATATTGCGATTCAGTATAAGACAATTAGATCGTTTTCGTCATCCACGTATTCTGGCTATTGTACATTCGGTTGAAGAATCAAGTGATACATTAGCATTTGCAACCGAACCAGTATTGGGTAGTTTAGCAAATTGTTATGAATATTTGGAAGACAGGTTGCCACAATCATATGAACCATCACCATTGTTACGTGAACAAAATTTATTAGATTTTGAAATTAAATATGGTTTATTACAGGTAAGTTTTATATATTAAAAAAAATTTTCCAGAAATAAAATTTCTGGAAAATTTCCCGCAAACAAAATCACACAATAAAACCATGCATGCTGGAACGGAAGACGATTATCAATTAATTTTCTTTAGAATTTTTCCCGGAAATTTTCTTCATTAAAAAATAAAGTTTTTTTTAATGAAGAAAATTTTGTCAATTTTCATTGTGTGTGTGTGTGACGCAGACACAGAATCAAACACAATGAGAAACTTCCATGTAAACTTTTATTGCCGAAAATAAAAAATTGAAAAGTGAAAAAAAATGAAAAAAAAATGATTTTCCATTATCCATATTTTCAATATTTTCAATGAATGAATGATGCAAACATCATCATCACGGGGCCCAAAAACTTTACTATTAGGATTTTCGGTGGGAAAACTTTCCAGAAAACTTTTCTATTTTTACTTTACTTCTTTGCAACCCTGTAAGAAGCAAACAAACAAACATTGCTGAAAAATTATTCTGTCCAAAATTCCGTTATTGGTTTGTTGGTTTGTTTGTTTGTTTGCTAATATTATTTATTTATTAATAATGTTTTTCTGTTCGGTTCTGTTTAGTTTTGATTAGGAATAATGAAATTTTTTTTTGAACAACAAGAAGATATTCAAAGAATAGAATTAGCAAACAAACAAACAGAAAAAAAAGAAAAGAAAAAAGTTAATAATTGGATTGAAGAAGAATAACAAGAAGAATATTCTGTCTATTTTAAGTAAGATTCTTTATTTCGTTTTTGTTATCCTCAAGAGATGACTGTGTTAAAAAAAACATTTGATGAATTAATTTGAATGGTGAATGTTGTAACTGAAATGTTGTAAAAATGTTATTATTTTCAGGCAGCAAGGATAATTAGTTTTTTTGCTGTTGTAATTTTTCTATTTATTAAGAAAAATTACAGGATTTATAATTATAATGATGATGATGATGATTTGATGTTTGATGTTTTTGGCTGATCTGCTGTATTAGGTGTGTGTGTTTGAATGGTGGTGGGGAAAATTTCCCGGTATATAAAAAGTTTTCGGGAAATTTTTCCCTCCCGTTAATGTTTTTCTTGAGAAAAATGGATAAAAACTTTTTCAAGTTTTTTTTCCTTTATTGATTTTTCAGTTTTTTTTTGAAAAGATTTTCTCCACTTTTTCACTTTATGTGTTGGTGTAAGTGGGTGTTAATGTGGGCGTGCAAATCTGTCACCTCGAAATTCTTTTAAAACCAATTTTTCTCGATAAAAAAAAAATATTGATTTTTTATTTTCGTTAACTTTTTTCTATTTTTACTTGTTTTTTTTAAAAATCGATTGAAAAAAATTGGAAATTATTTTCGGAACGGGGGAAAAAAATTTGAAGATTATCGAAGCATTAATACATTTACATCAAAATTGTCGTGTTATTCATCGTAATATATCACCACAATCAATATTGATCAATAAAAAAGGTACATGGAAATTGGCTGGTTTTGAATTTATGGAAAAATGTAGTAACAACAGTAATGATTGTAACAATGATCTAATGGTCAGTATTATTCAATATTCAATCACGTGACAATCAAGTTTGGTCACGTGACCGTCATATTTTGTAACGATATTTTTGAATTTTTTTTTCGTTTCTTTTTTAGAATGTCATTACATGTCAACCATATACAAGTAAATTACCTAAAATGGGACAACCAGATTTAGATTTTATTGCGCCCGAAGTACAAACACAATCATTATGTACAATAAATAGTGATATGTTTTCATTAGGTTTATTAATAACATTTCTTTATAATAATGGACGATCATTAATACAAGCAAATTTGAATGCATCCAATTATTTAAAACAACTTGATGCGGTAAGCAGAAATTTTTCCGGAAAAAAAATTCCCGAAAAAATTTCCCCAAAATTTAAACCGGCTGTGACCATTTCACCATCAATTCCCTATGGAAAAATTCGATTTCCAAACAAATTTTTTTCATTTCATTTCCATTAATATTTCCAATTTCATTTTTCCCAAAAAAAAAATTTCTTTCTCTTTATAACCGTGTTTTTTTTGGTACCATATTTCATCAATGATGATTATTATTATGATGATGACGACTTCGACAAACGACATTCAACCAAAAAAAAAATCCATTGGAATTCCATTGAAATTTGCTGTTTTTGTTGTTGTTGAAACTTTCATCGATGACGATCATCATCATAAAACGATTGCAAAAATACTACTGCACATTTGACGACAACAACCAACGACAACAAAAATAGTTAAATATATCGCTCAATCAATTGCTGCCAAATATTCCATCTGGACTACATGAATCATTGAAAAGTTTACTTGAAATTGATTATAAAAAACGTCCTACATCACAAAATTTAACAACGGTAAGTTAGAAATGAAATGAACATTATCAATTGAGACCAGGGAAAAACCAAGGAAAATATCGCATATGTTTTTTCCCCCTTTTTCAACGTTGAATTCCATTTATTGATCGAATTGAATTGAAAATGAGCTTTTTCTTTTTTTTCACTTCTTGATCGAGGTATTTTTAGATAGCAGCAGCTTTTCTGTTTAAAAAAGGAAGAAAAAGAAATTCTTTATAGTCGTTTTTTCCCTTGATTCTCAACTTGATGATCATCATCAATTTGATTACAAATTTAACCCTTTAATACACACACGCACCAAACCAAACACAAAAGCAAAAGAAAAAAACATTAAATAGATTTTTCAAGAATTTCAAAGGGGAAGAAAAGTGTTAAAGTTTTTTAGAAATTTTCAAAGAAAAATAAAAAATTCAAGAGAAAAAAAGTCAAAGAATTTTAAAAAAGAAAAGATCTGCTGCATATCATCATCATTATCGTAGTCAAATTAAAGTTGATCTTAAATTCATTTCCAAAACGAAAACGAACAAACCAAAAGTAACGAAAAGTAAAGAAACGAAAGAAAATATTATCCAAGAAAATGAGTCTAAAGTTTCATTATTATTAGATGATGATGATATGTTTTGTGTGTGTGTAAACAGAACAGAACAAAGATCATCAGACCTGAACCAAATGTGAAAAAATAATAATGATAATTATAATAATGGGAAAAAAACAAACATAAAGAAAAAAAGATTCCCATGTTGGTTGTATGGTGTTATTTTTTTCCCCCTTTTTTAAAAAACATTCTTTTTTTTACTTTGAATAATATTTGTATGCAGTGTGTACAGTGTGTGTGTGTATAATTCACTTTTTTGGAAAAAAAAATCACATAATGATCTTATGGTGATGAACGAATCAAACAATCAAAAGATAAATGTGTGGTGAAGGAGGAATTTGAAAAAAAGAAAAAAGAATCTTTCTTTTTTCCCATAAAAAAAAATTGTTCAATTCTTTCTTTTGATTCTGTTGAATTCCTTTTGCTGAATTCTATGTTTTATGGACGTTTGTTCGTGCCAAAGATTTTCTTTCTTTTTCTGATTCTTACTTGCACTTTCATTCAGTTTATCCTTTTTATTTTTATGATAGATATCTTCAGTCTGTGGGGGAGAGAGAATTTTGGTGTCTAAGAAAATCGTCTAAAAAAAATTGTACATTTACAAACAGAGAGGGGGATATCATTATTGTTATTACAAAAAAGGGGGGATATTTATTTTATATTAGGCAAGTTGTATATTGTTCAAACAACATGAATAGAGGATTCCATAGAGAATATTTCTTCTCGTTTTTCGTTTACATTACGTTTGTATTTCTCTTGATTCTTTTCTTCTTGTATTTTTCTCAATGTAATACCGGGATTGATTTCAACATCAAATGATGATGTTTATTGGAAACATTTTCGAAACTCTATAAAAAAAACATCATTCGATAATTTTAATTAAAAATGAAATTTTTTTCTTTATTACAATGAAATTTCTTTGATTTTTTCCAGGGCAAAGAGAGAAAGTTTCCCGGAAAACTAATATCATCAAAAAAAAATAGCATCCATTCATTTGATAATTAGTTTCTCTTTTCTTTTCAATGTGTTTCACAAGTGTGTTTCACATTGTTTGTTTTTGTTTTGAAAATTGCCAGACGAAAATGAAAAAACCTTTTGAAAAATCAAAATCATAGAAAAAAAAATCAAGCATTTTGGATTGAAAAAAAAACCTTGTTCAATCTCTCTCTCTCTCCTTCTCTCTTTGCAATTTCCAATTTTCAAGATTTCGATTCTTTACTTATATAAAAATCATCATCATAAAAGAAAAGAAAAGAATAAAGAAAAATAAATACGATTGAATCGAATCAAATGAAACGTAAACGAAAGAAAAAAAAACGAAAGAAAATCAAATGAATGGTTGAATGATTATATATTTTTATCCCCAATAATATAACACACACACACACACAAAATAGCACACAATGGTTTTGCTTTTGCTTTATCAGAATATTCTTCTGAATGGTAAAATGATTTTTTTTTGTTTTCAATTGTGTTCAGTGTTTGTTTGTGTGTTCAGTTCGACCAATTGTATTATTATGAAATAAATGTGTTTAATGTGTGTGT